ACAGCATCAGTGTCCATCCAACCTGCCTGTTACCGTCGAATGCCACCATGATCTCATCATCAAGGTTGTCAGAATGAAGTAGTTGATATCCCGCCGCCCATTGAGGGAAGATTGATTGTTGCGCGGTGATACATTCATCATAGCCAGATGATGTTAAAGGTGCAAAGGTGATTCCATTTGAAGTCGTGCGGTCGAAGAGATATTGAGGTGCTTTGAACGTGGACAATGGCTGGTAAAAATCTTTTATTTTTGTACCTTCTTTGAATCCTGAATTCAAAGTTAGACTATAATACGTATATAACTTTTCGCACTAATAGCAATAATTACTCACCATTCTTGACAAAAAGCTCTTGACTCCGAATATCCATATCCATCGGAATACCAGGCCAAAACCTAGGCACCGAGCTTCCAACTTTGATCTTCTTGAACGACTTCTTCCAGAGATCCTCTATCACATGCCGAAGAAGCTTGTTCCCGTGTTCCTGTCGTCGAAACTCGGGATGAATTGCAATAATCGCCAAGTATCCGGTCTCTGGTTGTTTCGATGATGGTTCCGCATAAGTTGCACAGAAACCTATAAGCTGATCATCCATCAATGCGACAAAGTGCGATCCTAGGGACACGGCTAAAAGCTGTTCTAGATGTTGTGGGGAGATAGGATATTGCGGAAATGTTGACTCCCAGAGAATTGATACCGTGGCTGAGTCGACTTTATTGTCGTAGGGTCTTACTGTCAATTCGGACATGGTTGTAGTAGTGATTACAGTGTTAGGGTTTCTGACAAAACTGAGAGCTTTCTGGTATGAGGTCTTTTTGGATGCTCTGGTTAGAATTATTACCTGTGGAAGTGAATACAACGTTGCTAAATAGTAAATGGTAATGATGCTGCCTGGCAAGCACCATCATAGTATAAAGCCACTAATGCATGACATGATAAACAAGAACTGTTGGAACGCAATACGCTATCCCTAATTGGGAATCCATCATACTACTAACATGAAGAAATTTCGAGAACTAGGTTCACATACTGACGAGATATAGACATCCAATCAGCTCTATATGGCTATATCTAGAAGTTCGACTGGATGTCATCTCATGATCTAGTTTGTACAGGACCTCACATATAAAAGAGGTCAACATTCCTGACAAGTTTTGTATTAGAGAGGGTGCATCAATACATAGAAATTCTCAACTCTAAGTTCTTATTATTTGCCTATATTCCGTATCCATCCTAGCGTAACCGAGCTCCAACAGTTATGAGCCCGGGATTGCTGTGAGATAGATATTCAGAAACTGCCCACAATCCTCTATATCCAAAGCCGGTATCGAAGTATATCAATCGAATCCAAACCTTT